CCATACGTCCATGCGGCATTCATCCAAACGTCCATTCGGCCAGACGTAAATTCGGGAAAACTTCCATTCGGCAGACGTCAATTCGGCCAAAGGTCCATTAGAACAATCGTACATTCGCCCAAACGTCCATTTAGCCAAACGTTAATTCGGCCAATCATGATCTTTAACTTATGATTTATAACTTTATTTAAATGAGCCGTGATGAATTTACTGTTCATACAGTTGCACCTTTCGTCAAAAGTTTGATGTAGTTATGGGTAAAAAGTTCCCTAATTTCATGCCAATTTTTGAGAACTTTAATCATTAGAAATTTATAAATGACCCATGATGATGAAATAGACAAGATGGAACCATTTTTGCCCAGATATTTTCATAACTTGGTGTATGTTTAAAGTGATGAAGTGATTTTCTAGGACTGCAAGTTTTACGATGCATATGTTTGTTTAAAATAAGGATACGATTTGCAGTAATTTGTTAATGCTTAATAGCGTTTGGAACTCGACTCAAACTACTTCCCAACAATTTCAAAATTTCTGTGTTCGAGTTTGTAACTTTTAGAAGATAACATTATTTCCAATATACAGTCAATCCAGCATTATGGGTCACCCACAATTATGGGCCACTTTCAAGAGCAACTTTTCATTAAGTCGAAAGTAACATTCGCACCGATCCGAGAAAAATAAAGTTTTGTTTAGATGAGCGAAAAGTTATTCCTATTTCCAATTAAACACATGTTTAACATAGTAAGCAGGGTTTTAATCATTCCAAGCAGATCGCTAGCTTTAATGCTAATAAACACTGGTTTTTTAGTCAAAAGTTATGATACGTCGTTTGGTGACCGCCTAATGTTACTTAAGGTTCAATTTACTTTAATTTTTTTTCGAAAAATTGAAAAGCAGTTTTTTTTCGACGCATTAGTTCAGATTGAAAAATGCTCGCACTATTCGATTTCTTTTGCTATTCTACACAAAATGACGCGAGCTTTTAGCAATCTGAAATAATGCGTCGAAAAAAACTGCTTTTGAATTTTTCGAAAATGCATCAAAGTAAATTGAACCTTAAGTCAAAGTGTATTTACCAGGATATCCGGGAGAATTATCAATCTCGTCTTTTTACGTGCAACCCATTCATCATTTTAGGACCACCGAAACCATCTTAGCAACAAACAGTTCGATTTATTCACTTTAATAATGAGAAAGCGAAACGACGAACGTACACTTTTCACAGGTTTATTTGCGCTGTTACTTACGACAAACGGCATCTCCATAGAAATTGGGTGACTTTAGTAACATCGAAACATATTTTGATCGGAAGGTGATTACGTCAAAAAGCAATTTGACTGGTAAATAAATTTATAAATGGTATGTGATCCTATATTCGTATAGTATATAGTGTAATAGCAGGAGCATCGATTGACACTGATAGCTTGACTTTGTTTACCTTTGTTACTTTCGACGTAATGAAAATTTGCTCTTGATTTGATTAACACGCAGAACTGACTGACCCGTAATAGTGACTACCCGTGCAAAGTTGGAGATCAAATTGAAATCAGAATTTGCTGTTATGATGTTATTTATTTCAAATACTCAATTTGATCTCATTTTGGTTGACTTAACGGTTAACACAGCAAAAATAAGAGCAACATTTTACACTGTTGAATCAAATGGAAAACTAATCCTGCTTTCAATGAAATCAATTTGATTGCCGATTTTGCATTCATAATGTTTAACTGAATACGGGCCTGGCGTTTATGGTTAGCATCCATGCTTTTCACGCTGAAAGACTTGATCTCAAATCTCTCCTCGGTTTAGTCACGAATGATCTATTTTAAATGTTAAACAAAACAAATAAACAATAATCGTTAGTTCAACAACAGATGAACTTAAATCAAATTTTAAACAAGAAATTAACTGCAGAACTTAGTTGACTGCATAATTAAATCACAATATGAAATCAGACTTCTATCGCGACAGTTGAAATCAAAATGAGTTTTCATTATGATAGCAAACTTAAATATCAATTTGCTTTCATTTTGTAACCCAACTTTGCTCGGGTAGCTGGCCTATAAAGGGTTTATTCGATAGAAATGGCACACCGAAAATCTTCTGTAACTTTTGAACCGTATGAGTAAAAACCTGTTAATTGGGTTCTTTAATTTTGAAAAATACATCGTTTTTTATATATCATCTGAAAGAGCTTCGTTTTCTGAGCACAGCGATATTTTTTTTCGAACCCACAAACTTTCATCTCGATTTTTAAATCAAGATTTAAAGCAAAATAACAACTTCACTGTTTGACACTAAACTGACAAACTGACAGCTCGCTCCCATACAAAGTGACACCGAGGGGCGATAATGAGCTGATTTTTGCAAATGTAATCGTTCTTATTTAAAATAGTTCCAGTGTACCAAAATTGATGAAATTTTGGGTTTGGGTTCCATTTTTAATGCAGATTACGAATATGCATTTACCTCAATACCCTTAAAGAACTCAATTTGGGTAAATCATATTCATAGTGTATTGTTTACATCTGTCAAATTTCATAGTTATTCATACAGCAGTTCCAGTCATGTCGTCAAAACAAGAAATTGTCCGTGAAAAAATGTTGTACAATTACAATCAAAATTCAGAGGCGTTCCACCGATGGATCGCTAAAAAGCTTGGAATTGCAAATACAACTGTGTTCCGTGTGATAAAAACCTTCAAGGAGTGTCTGAGTGCCCGAAACAAGGAAGGGAGTGGTCGTAAAAGTGGTCCAATGGACAGTAAAATGGCCAGGAAAGCGGTGCAACAGTTCAAGAACCGTCCAAGCATGTCAATTCGAGATGTCGCTAAAAAGTCCAAGGTGTCAGTCGGTTTTGCGCAGAAAACCATGAAGCGTGCTGGGTTACAAGTTGCAAAAGCCCCAAAACCGGAATGAAAAGCAAAACATCACCGCGAAAACCCGCGCCCGGAAACTTTACAGGAAGTTGCTCACCAAATCGTGTTGCATCGTGATGGATGACAAAACTTACGTCAAGGTCGACTTCCGTCAACTTCCTGGGCAAGAATATTTCGTTGCCAAGTCTAAGTTCGATGTTCCGGAGGATGTTCGAAAGAAGAAATTATCGAAGCGCTCCCTTCATCACTTCCGGAACAATCAACGGTGCGATTTACACGGAAGAGTGCCTTAAGAAGTGTCTCTTGCCATTCATATGGAAACACAAAGAATCAACTCTGTTTTGGCCTGATCTAGCATCCTGCCACCATGCTCGAAACGTGTAGGAGTAGTACCGAGCTAACGGAGTCAATTTTGTGCCAAAATATATGATCCCACCAAATTCACCGGTACTTCACCCAAATGAAAAATTCTGGGCAATTATGAAGACGGAACTTCGCAAACATCCCACAACTATTAAAAAAGAGCTGGAGTTGAAGAAAATTTGGGTAGAAACAGCAAAAACACTGGGAAAATATCGATTGTACACAATTTGATGGGTGGAGTGAAAAGGAAGTAATTTTTCATTCCCTGAAAATTTCAAGAATATCCGATAATCGGTTTGAATTTGGTCCAACATTTTTGTTCGTGAAAAACTTGTAATTGCTTATGATCATTATGCAGCAACAAGCACCGGATTCGCAACTCTAAACAACCCTAGCCCAGATACCAAAGTTCATGTTTGTTTTGAATTTGTGTGTGGGTTCACCATGAAATCCATCAAGTTCCTCCAATTTTCCTCCAGCCTAGGCCAATTTTGCGCGCCGAATTATCCCGGGTGAACATTAATCTTACCGACCAGCGGCTGTCAGTGAGCCGGTTTTCCGTTCCACCTGCCTGTATGCGGAGTGGCCATCTTGCTGCCCCTCGCCATGTGCGTGTCTGGTAAAACACCCACGACACGCAATATAGCTCCGAAACGATCTACACCCGTGTGTCGCATCTGGTTTTGTCTTAACCCGAGTTGCTCTAAATAAGAGTAAAGAATTTCACCCCCAGTGCCCCCCGCCACATCCGAGTCAGTCCGCCTCATGCTGCATCCCTAGGTACGTGCGGTGGTGGTTGTGGTGTCTGTAGGTACTGGTGACGACTTGAACTACGACGGCGAACACCCAACTGGTCGGTCGGATGTCGGTTCGTGTCCGCGTCTCTCTGTAGTGCTCTTGGGTCAGTCGTGGGCAACTGCCTGACCGTTGTCGAGCTGTGCGTGTGTGTCGTGCTTCGAGTTGTATTTCAGCATCCTGAATTTTAAGGTGGTTTATTTTTGTACACTTTGTTCTGATTGTCGTATAGTACATAGGGAACCAGACAGCGAGCGGGAGACAGACGGACAGAAGCTATGTAGATGGGGACGGTAATTTAGCAAAACCCGAAGCCAAGAGGCCTCGATGTTGCGCGTACAATACGGCACTGTTCTCGGGAAGCGATCTGCCACTGGTTCAACCCGATTTCAAGATTTTATTCAAAATTGTGCAATCCACTTTGGGTACTGCTGACTGCACTTGGCATGTCGTTGAATCCGGGTTCATGTCCGTTTGAAGCTAACACGGTAAAAGAGTCCTTCTGAGGGTTATGGCGAATGTTTCCCAACACTTTTGGACACCTTGCCAGCTGTCAATTTGCTTGTTCTTCTTTCCAATCACCGTTCATTCACTTTCTGCACACTGTTTCATTCTCTCGGCTAGCCTTCTCTTTTCTTCACCGCTCGGTTTTTCACGATTATTTTTAAAAATAATTTAGCTCTCTATAATTCCGGTTGCGCAATGCCTTTTCTTCTTGAGATATTCATTAGGGAAAACTTAATGCTACGGTCATTTCCATTGTACGTTTTGCATCACTTTGAAACACAATTTGCTTCTAGTTGCTTCTGCCATTCACCATTGAACACTTCCCTACATGGGATAATCGTTTGCAGTTTTTTCCTTTTTTGGCACTTTTTTCCGTTTCCGTACGAATGCAAAACACATGGACCGTAGACCACTGTTGTCCAGTGGTTATCCGGAAGACGCGAGGAGACACTTACACCAATACACCGCGACGTAATCCTTATCCTCTAGTAACCGTTCCAACTGTTTGGCCGAAACTTCCTCGATCGTGGCGTCCGGGACGGCCGGGGCAGCCTTTTTTGCACAGTCTACATTGCTCACTAATAAACTACTCACAACCAACAGACAGCACAGCAAGGCACTGGGTGCCCGCACTAAGTTCCTGATCCGCGAGAAGATCATCTCTGTTCTGGGCTGTTTGGCGGGACTTTTTTCAAGTTCCGCTCCCGTCAGAGGTCCGCTCGTAACTGAGCGCGGTCCGCGATGGAAAAGGTTGCAAATTTTCGCTTAAAAATACACTCGGCCCGAGGAAGACCCCCAGCGCTACGTTTGCGAATGGTCCCGAAGACGACGACGACGACGACCTGTCACGGTTTCGATCGAGTTTTCCCCGGGAGTGGTGGGTGGTGGAAAATTGATGGTGTTTTCTCTTTTCCACCCACTGGGCTACAGTCGGGAGGATTGGCGTGCACGCGGTTTTGTAGATGCGCGCGCGTCTTCGATTTGCGTTTATTTATAGGCGAGTTGATGTTTACTTGCGAAAAGTCATGTTTCGGGTGTTGGAGCTACGCCAACCGGGACTGTACGGTGGCGATATCTCTGAGGTGGATAGGGAATCTTTTCGGAACGGATTCGTACGAAGTACGATTAAAGATTGTAGCTTATTTTAGTGTTAATATATTATTAAAACTTATGCTGTACTGGTTAGTGCCTTTTGTTATTTTATTCATACTAAATGAAAGGTAGATTGATTCTTTGCTAAATATAAACAGTAATGATTCGATTTTTCCAGGGCCCATTTTTTTAATCTTTTCTAATGTTCTACGAAATCTATGAGCTTTTCAGTGGTCTTATTGCACCAAACCTTAAACATCCATCTTGAAGATGAATGAGAAATATCCTTTATTTTATTACAGTGATAATCCGATTTTTCAAAATTTTTATATAACTGCAAATCCAAATCTTTCCCATTTATTTTAAAGATTAATGTTTAAGGTATAGTTTGGTGCCATAAGTCCACTAAAAAATCGCAGAGGTTTAATAGAACATCTGGAAATATTTTCAAAATGGGGCTTACAAAATTGAGTCATTGCTTTATTAGCTACAATTTATTTTCTTTACATTAGGCCGGAACAAATCTCAAGTTTTCCTTTTGTCACCCCCCCCCCTTCAAAATTTTGGAATATCTCAAAGGGGGAAAAAAACTTACAGTGTATTATATATTTTTCCAGTATCGCAAATCCATTCGGGTATGGATTAGACTGCCAGCGAAAATGGTAATTTTTAATTTCGCTAACAAACCATATACAAAATGTTTATTGCCTCGAAAAATGACCCTATGCAAAATTTGAGCTCAATCGGACATGATTTAGGGGTGGCGCAAACGCGTCAAAGTTTGACTTTTTTCACTCTCGAAAATCTCCCAAAAAATTAAATATTTTTTTTGATGCCAAATGTCTTAAAAATGCATGAAACGTCGAGATTTGGTGTTATCTCGAATTTTTTTTTCAAGAATCGATTTTCTGGGAAGATTGATGAGTCGGCTTCTAAAACTGTTCACAATTGTCTCCAACCTGCTTATATATCGAATTAAACCACCATTTAGGATCCTAATACGACATAATTCACTAGGGTGGTCCAATTATTCTTCATTAGGGTGGTCCAAAAATTCAAAAATATATGAAAAACCACAACTTTTTATCAGAAATTCCTAAAATCAATTGTAAAAATATCTTGAATTGCGTTAATCTGTTTTTTTTGGGAATCATCAGTTTTACACAAGAGGAACATTTGCCTGAAAAGATGAAAAAATACTTGTTTTATACTTTGCCATATATTTGCTTATTAGCTACACCAAATCAGATTTCCTGGTACTCTTATAATTTTTTCGATGATCTTCAACTAATTGTAAAATGCACTGCTTTTGATCTTCATCCGTTGATAGTTTTGAATTGTATGTTTTAATCAGTGCTAAACCACGCTCTGCATTATCATTAACTACTTCCAAACATTGAACCCGTCTTTTGGCATTTTTAAATTCGATGGAACTACTCCACTGCTCCATATCGACATTCAGCAACGACTTTGGAATTTGGAGAGCTTTGAATAAGTTTTTAATACCACTGCTGCCTTGTACAAACGAGTGTAGTTCAATCGTTGAAATATCGTTGGATTCAACAATGGATCTGGCTGTAATGTTTTTATGAGTATCTGTAAAAAAAAATCATTAGAAAATTAAATGCAAATGTATCAATTAAAGCATTTACCTGATAGAAGTAAAGCTTCGATGACCTTTTTCTTAATCGGGAGGTCTACATTTTCGTCGAACAGACATAGTCCGATAAGGCTGTTGTCCAAATATTGCAAGTGAGTTAAAATTCCTTTATGTACTGCTTTCGCAACGTCTTCATCAACAGTTTCATATTCCTTCAATATTTTTAACAGGTTCAGATCGTTGTTGGGTGCCATCGCAGCACACGGAGAAAGAAACCAACTTTTCAAATAAATTTTTACAATGAACACACACAATCGAGCTAGTTGATTTTTAGTTTTATCTGGTAAAGCAAATTCATGCCGAAGAATAGACATTTTCAAAGAATAAATGATTTTGGCCATCCACCTTGCATTGTGGAACGCATCAGGAGCTCTTATTTGTAATTTTCATCGATTTTTCCACCCAAATATAAAATGACAAGTTGTATAACCTCTCGGTAATCACCACGGTGGTGTTGCTCTCTAATTTGTCATAAAACTCCAATAACGCCAATCTTTCTATTTCCGAAATAGCTATTTAAAAAAAATCATCATCCATACCTGAGTGGTATGAAGTCTTTTCCAAAATGTGCCATTTTGATTGGAATTCCTTAAAAATCTCAACATTTGGAGACTTTGACGTTTCAAATTTCAGAATTTTAAAAGCTTTGCCAAGTTGCAGTTCATGTATGTGGTGTCTACAAGGGAGGCCTATAAGCTGCCTCTTAAACAATTTGTCCAGGTACTGACACGCACCTTTTTTTCTACCGGTGTTTGATGCAGTAGTATCAAAAGATGTAAACATAATTCTGAAAACAAACGATAAAATAGTTAGAATTCTGAGGTGAACATACAAGATTTAAAATCATACCTGTCCGCAAGCCCCCATTCGACCGCTTCTGCTTGTTGTGCCCCCGTAGAGTTTTCGATGGGTGGAACAGACAATAATTTTCTAATGCCTTCGCCTGATACAACTATGGCCAAGCGCTCGGTTTTTGGTAGAGCTTTGGATGGTAATATATGTTAGGTACCAGCTTAGAATCCCAATGTACTGTTAAATTTATATCTGGCTTAAACGACGCTTTTAAATCATGTTGCATTTGTAAGCGAATTCTTGCTCTGGCGATTCTGACAGATTCCTTGTTCAACAATAATGATGAAACATCGTGCCCTAAAGCTTTGGCGATCGATGATATTAGAAACACAGCATTTCGATCACTCACTTTACAGCGGTCCAATGCAGCAGCTAGCTCAACTGTAACAACTCGTATCAGTTGCGATTTACGTGTCAAAGCTGGTTTTGAAGAACCTAGAACGTTCAAAATATATTAATATGGATGGTAATAGGTGTATAATGTAAAAGAAAAAAAAAACATTAGTAAAACATCACAACGTACCTGTTTTTGGAGAAGCTCTTTCGGATGTACTAGGCGTGTACACTGACCCAGCCTGGCTGTCGTTTTGTGATGATGTTTCAATTGAGGTTGCACTACAAATTTGATCCGGTCTTTGGCTTGACCCTTCTTCCTCAAAATCGCTACACGAAATGGTTTCATTGGTAGGGAGAACCTCAGTTTCTTCATCAAGATGAGCTTCCCAACTAACATTTTCAGCTTTGTAAGCCAACTTTTCCAGCGTTGTGCTGTAAAGTAGCTGAAAAGAAGCTGCAGATACAGCTACAAGCAAAAGCTAGCAAAATAGTTTTGGAGAGCGTTTACTCAACTTTCTTACAACCATTATTCAATTTGTCAGTCGCACTGAATAACATCAACCAATAAACGCTAATGTCACTTCTATACACTCACTAATCAACTTTCAACTTGTAGCTGCAAAACAAAGCTAACAAAGTGAATATATAACTTATTTTATGGCTTCTAAACAACCAACCACTCTTGCTGAATAACATAAACATCAAAAGTGCTTTTTCAACAACTAAACAACCTGTACTCAGCTAATTAACTGTGTTAGAGCAACTTCGGAAGCATTGTCACAGTCAACTAGGTTTATTTTTAGACGTGTGCAGTTTTACAGCTTTTACTATGCTCTTTTATAACTAGTCGAGAAAAGTGATTCGTTTGCACTATTATAAAGCCTCTACTCAGCGATCTTGTTGTAGAACGGAATGTTGATTTGTTTGCATAAGTTTAAAGTGTTGGCGTAGCATAGTTGGTAGTGTCAAGGTTTGCCAATGAGGTCGTCTCGAGTTCGATTCCAGGTTCCAGTGCAGGGTAAATAATTTGGTGATGATTTGTAATTAATTTCGATTAATTTGATTCACAGCAAAATAAACTCAATAAATTCCTTCATAAGAAAGCGTAAACAGTATTTAACCCGGCTTCAAGAGAAAGCTGTGTAGTGATTATTGGATAACCGGGAAAAGGTTGAATAAGCGCCTTTCAAGTTCACACACAACTAAACAGCAGGATAACAGCTGTATAGAAGCGTTAATGGATATGCAATAAGAGCTTCTCCCGACCGTTCCAACAGCCATGAGTAGCTGACTAAGTTCGCCAGATTTGCTTGTATAGAGGTTGAGTAAAGGTTTCCTCATATCGTATAACGTTTGAATACAGCTTGAGGCTGTATAAATTAAATGAGTAAAGCGTTTACATTGTGAAAATTGTTAGTTGGGTTGTTCCCGCTGTTTTTGCAAATATTGCATCGCCTGCTTTTCTTCACGGGTTTTAGCCTTAAAATTCTTCCGGATATCAAACAAACTCCGCAATGATCCATGAAATGTGTTCCTTTTTTCGACGTCTTTCTTAGCCATTCTAAGTTTGTATTTTAATAAGGCTTTCCAGGTATTGAAAAATAGCAACAGTTTTTTCTCTATGCTTATGTCATTTACCAAATGTGTTAAGTTTTTTTTTCTTCCAAGCATCCTTTAATTCCTTTATTGTTAGGAAGGCACTAAGCTTACAACTTTTTTTTTCAGCACGCAAATGAAACATATATTTACGAAAAACTTCACTATACGTCGGCAAGTTAACAGAATTGCCGAACGACGGCAGAT